ACGTCTTCCAATATGATATAAGGTTACGTCGTCTAGTTTGATTGATGTGACCTTATCTGTGCGTTTACATTGTTCGATTCAAGCACATTCATCAATACAATCTTGCTCTTGGTTACGTCGCTTGGATGTTCACACTTGTTTGTGTTACGTGTTGAATCGACAATTTCATGCACTGTTCTAGTTTTCCACCTCTTCAGGTACTTCAGCTCTTACATTGTTCACTTCAAATATCATAACTCTTTTCCTTTCCGATGTAAGTTCCCTTTCTGAGGAGTTTAGCATGTTATCGAAATTGATTTTAGATCTTCTATATCCACAAACAATAACTTTGTATGGCCATCAGGTATATATATTTCACGTTGATCGTTTGTTTCAATGCGTGACTTTCTACAATTCAAATCAGCAAATCAAATGGGGGGTTTTCTGTTTTGCGGTGACATAGCTTTCTGTGATATACAGATCGCGGTCATATAGCTGGAAAATTGCTGAGTACGGCGTAAAACTAAACTCACTCACTTTCCGTGGTTTCATATCAAACGTACTGGGGTTGTATGTAAATACATGCATCCAGTGGTTGGAGAAAAAGGTGATTTCTCAGAGAGAAAAAAACCTACATAGAAAGTCGGGACTCTTATATTATAAAAACCGAAGCTAGTTTTAATTGAAATTGTGATATTCTAGTTGTTTTACTGTCCTCCTTCGTCGGCGGGTTTTTATAATATCTATATATATTCTGTTTCAATGTCAAATGTTCTCGTCACGACATGGCTGAAATATTGCCGATGTGACGTTAAATAATAACTCACTCACTCACTCACTTGAATGAAAATATTTTAGTTTGACAAGCTAGTTTTATTTTCATATATGTGATATTCTAGTATTTATACTGTCCATCGTCGACAGGTTTTTACTCTCCAAAATGTTTTCATTTTTCATTGTATAAATTGTTTTCGTCACGATATGGCTGACATATTGCCGATGTGACGTTACATATTAACTCACTCACTTACTAATCAATGCAAATTACTGCAAAGGAATTACAGTGGTAGTACAAAACAGAGTGGCAATACAAGGATAATAACAGTGGTAACACCAACAATGTTAGTGATCATGATATTCATGTAGGATCAACATCGGACATTTCAAAACAGACCAAGACTGGAAATCCAAGATAAAAATAATTATCGTTAAACAACCGCTGGTCTTGACGTATTTCGAGATGATAGAGACATACGGTGGCCTCTTGTGTATTTGACCTGTGAATATCCGGGTAAGAATGAGCCTTCAGTAACCCATGCTTGTCGTAAGAGGCGACTAACGGGATCGGGTGCCTCACACAAGTTTCAACACCTGTAGTGTATACGAAAGTAAGGTACAGTGTGATTCAGCTTCTCTTTACTCGCATCTCTCAGTTGATGTTGCAGGAGAAGCATGTAGTCGATAGCCATTCCATACTGACAGAAACACACGGGGTTTATTTTTTGCTTGTTTGTTTTTGGTTTTTTGTTTTGTTTCTTTTTATGTTTGTTTGTTTATTTGTTGTTGGGTTGTTGGTTTTTTTCCCTTTTCTCAATACCTGGAGTCATCAATGACTATATATCATTGACCAATTCATGCATTTTGCCTTTCGCGACCAGTGAATTGTGTTTCGTCAAATAATCGAGTTATTGGTTGGCCTTGACGCTTCTAAGGTGTGTTTGTTTTTATCTAAGAATTAGTCCAGAGCCTAACCAATGCCTGAAAGTAGATATGTGAAAACGTATTGTAATACCATGTTTTATGCAGTAGAAAACGTATTGGGTTGAACAGTATAAAATTATCGTACTTTTTTCTGTGGAATTTGCAATAGGCAATAGATGAGCATTCACCTCAGAAATTGTATTTCTATCAGGGAATATACGAGTTAGACTCGCACGTTGCTATTCTCGTACCTATCGATTGTCTATTACCAGCCTTAAACGTCCCTGTCCTACCGTACACTGTAAATATTATCATACTCATTAAATACCAGCCAGTCTCAGTACTGTGAAATAGGGTCTTGGTCCACAAAGCGTTTGTAGCATTACGACCCATCGTAACTCTTGCACGTACGAATGGCGTAATGTTGCGAACGCCTTGTGAATAGGGTCCAAGCAGATCAAAAGTTGCAGAGCATCTTGTGTTTTAATCCCAAACTCATCCACCTTTTATACACAAAGAGCGAGTGAGTTAGTTTAGTTTTACGCTGCTTTTAGCACTATTCCAGCCATATCACCGCGGGGGACACCGGAAATAGGCTTCACTATACACAAAGAAGTAAATGTTGAAAATAAGATGTGCGACCTATTTATAACCACAGTGTCCTCTCAGGGATTATTTACTGATATCTTCACTGGCGCTGTACATTAGAAAAACATAAATTCTTTGAAATGAACGTATTTTACAGAAAGAAAATTCTGAATACTACTTAATTTATGGATACTAGACGCTCGGTACCCCACCGAACTGGCGTACCCAAAGTACAACTCGTACCTTTTTGGCCGAGCCGTACCCAAATTGAGATAACCGTACCCAAATTTCGACGACTCTTACCCACATTTTTTATGATTCGTACCAAACTTAGATGACCCGTACCCATGTAGTTCTTGCAGATTTCTTTAACCGGTATAGACGGGAACATACGTTAACCAGTATGTTATATTTGGGATTACATTTCCTGTGCAAAGTACCTATTCTAGTAAGTTTGGCTAGTGGAAGCCGCTGTTGTCTGAAAGCGTTACATGGCCGACTGAATGGGTTAGAGGTACCTGGGTTCGAATCGCGGATTGGACTCAACCTAACAAAAGTGCTAGAATCGGTACTTTACTGAGAAAGTGTAATCCCAAATATAATATATGTAACATTTGACAATTTGGAGCGCATTAAACGACAAAAGATACAGAATATATTATTCTAATAATTCTTCATTTTGAACTGTGATGACAATTTATTCCGAGCACATTTCTTTTACAAAATCAAACATTCATTCATTATACAACCTTTCAATCTCAGTCACAAGGGAGTCATCATGAGTTCAGAAAGACTTCATTCATTATACAACCTTTCAATCTCAGTCACAAGGGAGTCGTCATGAGTTCAGAAAGACTTCATTCATTATACAACCTTTCAATCTCAGTCACAAGGGAGTCGTCATGAGTTCAGAAAGACTTCATTCATTATACAACCTTTCAATCTCAGTCACAAGGGAGTCGTCATGAGTTCAGAAAGACTTCATTCATTATACAACCTTTCAATCTCAGTCACAAGGGAGTCATCATGAGTTCAGAAAGACTTCATTCATTATACAACCTTTCAATCTCAGTCACAAGGGAGTCATCATGAGTTCAGAAAGACTTCATTCATTATACAACCTTTCAATCTCAGTCACAAGGGAGTCATCATGAGTTCAGAAAGACTTCATTCATTATACAACCTTTCAATCTCAGTCACAAGGGAGTCGTCATGAGTTCAGAGAGACTTCATTCATTATACAACCTTTCAATCTCAGTCACAAGGGAGTCATCATGAGTTCAGAAAGACTTCATTCATTATACAACCTTTCAATCTCAGTCACAAGGGAGTCATCATGAGTTCAGAAAGACTTCATTCATTATACAACCTTTCAATCTCAGTCACAAGGGAGTCATCATGAGTTCAGAAAGACTTCATTCATTAAGTAGCATCTGAAGTCATTTCTAATTTCACTTCTGACTAGTTGCCGGTATACTGTCAAATCTACCAATGTAAAAGATAACCAACAACATAAATATTTAGTTATATAGTGTTTCTTGTTCCTTGTATTTATATAATTTTTATACATTATATGCTTTTGAATATTGCCACGGATACTTAAACGTGAACAAACAAATATCAGATGTTTAAGTGATCTGTATATACGGTGCGGCAGTTGTCGCGACGTCGCTCTGCAATCCATATTGTCGCGCTGTCACCTTCTTGTAACAGACGATACACGACGCCATTTCATCTTTTCAATCTTGGAATAATATTGATTTTGCCACGAGGATACAACAAATGACTGCTGAACAGTTATTCCCTCTCTTATATACATGTAAAATTAGGATTAAATGAATTTACTAAACTCAAATAGCCGAAGTTGTTTATTGTTAATTTTGTATTCAAACTCAGCTTGGGAGTTGGTCGGAGAAGTTTACACAGTCGGTGATTGGATTCTCACAAGAAACAAGAAAAAAAAGGTCGCTATTTTACTTATACGATTTTATCAATCATTGATGCAGTTTAGAAGAATAGCAATGATAAGTTATATCTTTTCACTGAGTACGGCCGATTCCTTGTGTTTTTGGTGTACGTCTATGTGTTTAGGTACGTGTTGGTAACTAAAGATTGTCCAATATTTTGGTACGACTCTGTCAAAAAGGCTTAGGTACGAATCTCTATGGGTACAATTTATCTTGTAGGCTGTCCTTAATTCATCCTTATAAAATCTGATGAAAAGCAGGCAGGCGGGTTTCATTATTTTCAGACACTGCACTAATGTCTACTTGCCAAATGGTATATATTTACATGGTCTGAATTGCATATGTTTCTTTCAGACAAATGGGGCGGTGGGGTAGCCTAATGGTTAAAGCGTTGGCTCGTCACGCCGAAGACCCGGGTTCGAATCCCCACATGGGCACAATGTGTGAAGCCCATTTCTGGTGTCCCCTGCCGTGATGTTGCTGGAATATTGCTAAAAGCGGCGTAAAACCAAACTCAGTCAGTCAGTCAGTCTTTCAGACAATTTGAAAATGCCACAAACTCATTTTTGAATTATTTTATGGGCGTTTCTCGAGATATAAGGGGACATAACTCTAGGGGCCGCTTCTGAGGGAGGTATCTTGTAACATGAAGTGTCCATAAGTCATAATTCAATCTCATAACATGATTATAACAGCATTACTTAATTGTTTTCGGTTTAATTCCTGTTATGTAATGTCATTCTTTCTGACAGAATTAACGTCAGTGGCACCAACATTTGTGAATGAGTTTTGTTTATCTGATTAAAATAACTTCTCCCTTACTTCTGGATCAGGGAATGTCACTTGTGAGACCGGTTAAGCAGGTGTTCAGGTAAGCGGTACAAGGTGATTATGAACATATACAAACGTAGACGCAAAATCGTTCACTGATAAGCAACCGTGATGAGGTTGTGTTGTAAAATGGTTGACACCCGAGGACATAGAAGGTAGCATTTGCCGAATTCCGGACAACAGCACCTGTAAACACTGTCGACACTCACAGTCACACTAGTATACAGTCCCTGAACCACATTATTTTCCTTACTGCCAAGCCGTCTCTGCAATTCTAAAGCCCGAAATGAGTCCAGATTCATCAGGTTTTGAATCTCTGGTCTCCCTGGGGCTTTTTTTTCAGTTAATATATGTTTGTTTGTTACTATCAAAATGATATATTCAGAGACTAAGCATTAATCTACCGACAGCTGAGAAGGGAGTCCCGTGTTGAAGACGTGACGTCACGTGACACATATCACATGGGGCTGGCAGTCACACTGGATTAACGCTCAGTCTCTGAATTATAGTGACAAATAATCCCATTTAAATTGAAAAGGAGCCCCAGTGAGGCAGGAGATGTCTATGAAATCTAGACTTGCTTCATTTAATTTTTTAAGGCATCAGCATTGCAGGGAGGTATAGGCAGTAGGGAAGCTTGTGTGGTTCAGAGACTGTGAGATTGACTAGTAGTCAGTGTGCGAAAACGTTTCCAAATTTTGCTAGCCGGTCAGACTACCTATTCCTGAAAGTTACTTGCCCACAAAATAATTCACTAGCCCGAACTTTGAATGTAGAAACTAAGCAATAGATTACAAAAATAGATGAGAGATATTCTCATTATTATCAGGCCATAATCTTGCATGATTTAAAAGTGTATTATAACTTAACAGGTTGGACTGTGTGATATATTTACAAAATGACCCCATGAAAAATTCACTAGCCAGTTGGGCCAGTGACTGTGGAGATTTACTGGCCCTAGTGGATTTTTACTAGCCAGGGGCTAGCAGGCCAGTGGCTATTTCGCACACCAGTGTAGACCAGTGTAGCTGTGTCACTCTGTGAACAGTGTTTTCATCAGCGTCTCCAGACAATGGGTCAGGACAATATTTTTCTGCATGTATATATAGTTATCAATTCGAATAGCAACATATCGATCCCTAGCCAAGAGCGCTCATAGGGTCCTACTGTCAAGACATGACCCTGTATCACGGCTCTCAATTAAACCATCCTGACGTCCTTGCCAAATTGTTTATGATGTCATTAACTTGAACAGTTGTCAGAACCTTTGTGACATGAAAGACAATAGATATTGGAGAGTCTACTACTAGTCTACCCAAAGATTTAAGAATTACCAGTCATTTCATTCACAGTCAAACTTTAGGGATAACAACTTCTTTATTTTGTGACAAAATAAAGAAGTTCGTGACAAAATAAAGAAGTTCTTATCTTACAGTTTGTCTATATTGTACTTCCCAGCCTCTAAAATGCCACTCAAAGAAGTCATAACAAGTACAAAGTTATTCCATGAGCACAGAGGGCAGAGTTAATTCCAATTCTATAGTTTTAATTAGTAAAAGTTTTACGATTTTCTAAGCATCAAGTTATGATCATGCTATGAACCTCCAGTCTGCCTACTATTAAGACAGTACTGGCTTCAAATGCAAAACTTTTAGTTTTTTCCCAAAGATATAAGAGTCATTTAAGATTCAGATCTGTACACTATGGATAAAATATTCACCTTCTGTAAGTTTATAGCATGAAGTAATGGCGATTCTCTTGTGTTGTTTCAGAGTTTTTAGCACAATGAGTAAAACAAGATTCGAGATGTATGTGAAGGCAGGAAGTGATGGGAAGAATATTGGCGACTGTCCATTCTCACAACGTGTCTACATGTACTCACAGCTGAAGATTCCATCCGAACTGGTCACAGTTATACCCGTTGACATCACCAACAAATCAGAAGAATTTCTGAAATTGAACCCAGAAGGAAAAGTTCCAGTACTTGTAGACCATGAAAAGAATAAAGTTATTGCAGACTCTGGCACCATCACTGGTTACATACACGACAGCTTCCCATCTCCAGATCTGCATCAGACTTATAGTGGTCCTGCTGTAGAGGCCTCAGGTGGGGTGTTCGGGAAATTGGCTGCTTTGTTGAAGAATTCCGACCTAGCGTCTATACCTAAACTGAAGGAAGACCTTGAGAGGGAGCTGAGAACATTAGATGATTACTTGAACTGTGCCGATTGTAAAGGAGGGTTCCTGGTGAGTGATAGGATCTGCGAACTAGACTGTGCAATTCTCCCAAAGTTGCGGCATGTGCAGGTAGCGGGGATGTATTTTCAGGGATTTCAGATCCCAGAGGACTGTGTTGCACTTCTTGACTATATCAGGAAGGGAGAAAGTACAGATGTGTTCAAGCAAACCTGCCCCAAAGATGAGGAAATCATTAATGGCTGGTCAAGACATAATATCATGGTGGTCAAGCAGTAGATGAGTAGGATTACTGTTACCTGAGGGTGTCCGGGGTGTGATAATAGCCTGGTTATATTACTGTAAACTACATATATATCCATGCTTATAACAATATAGCAAACTGTTTATTTGGTCCCAGCTGCTTTCTGTATATTTTAGGGTTAATATGAACTAATATTAGTGGTCCCCTTTAGTTTGTTATATATACTGTCATAATCTCATATTAGACTAACAACTAGTCTCTGAAATGAACATATTTTACAGAAAAAAATAATATATGATGAAAAGGAGCCCTGAGACTTATCTAGACTTGCCACATTTTCTAGACTTGCGTGGGATTTCTTGGATATATTTACTTCAGGGTCTGTATGACAGACTAACTCTCATATATATTTGACAAACAGGACTTTCAAGGGCCAACATGCAATACTTTCCTATGGTATAGATCCTTGATTTAAGTTCCATTGTTACCATATTAGTGTTAGTTGAAGTCAGTGATGTTGCCTATTATGGTCAAGATTCAAGTTAATGTTCTAGCTGACCAGTCATTAATGAGGCTTCTAAATTCTTTATTCGATATCATGTGTTATTACCATACAGTGTAAAATCCAAATCACTCAGTCAATCACAGGTGTGGTTGAGGGAGACCTTTGAAAAAGCCACTCTGATATTTGTAATTTGAAACAAATATAACGAAGGAATACCTGAAGAAAAAAATAAAGCTATTCTATTATATCGTTGTAGATATGTTATGAATCCTGTCATTTGTGAGCCCAGGGAATCTACATGAAAAAGAATAATAAACATCATTAAAGATGTTCAGCAGATCAGATGACATATTTGTGATTTCATTTTCCATGTCCATGTTGATACTGTGATGATGCTGTGTGAAAACAGCAAGTCCAGCCAAACTACACCATGGTAGTCAACCACATTTTGATGAGTGATTGCAGATTGTAAATCCCCACATCAGAGTCATAGCTAGAGCAGCAGCCAACATGTGGAAACCTCATCTTTGGTTCACCTACATGTAGCTACAATCTACTGATGGTGAATCACATGCCTAATTGGATACTTGTAGCTGCAGTAAATGATTGAAGGTAAATCAGTGGCCTCATTTGATACACCTAGCTGTACTTAATGGTTGATGGTAAATCAGTGGCCTCATTTGATACACCTAGCTGTACTTAATGGTTGATGGTAAATCAGGGTGCGTTGTTTGATACACCTAACTTAGTTGGTGGTAAATCAGGGGCCTGGTTTGATACACCTAGCTGTACTAAAATGATTAATGGTAAATCGCTGGCCTTGTTTGATGCATCTAGCTAAACTGGTTGGCTGATGGTAAATATGGGTCCTGGTGTGATACACTTAGATAACATAATTGTTGATGGTAAATATGGGTCCTGGTGTGATACACTTAGCTAACATAATGGCTGATGGTAAATATGGGGCCTGGTGTGATACACTTAGATAACATAATGGCTGATGGTAAATATGGGTCCTGGTGTGATACACTTAGATAACATAATGGCTGATGGTAAATATGGGTCCTGGTGTGATACACTTAGATAACATAATGGCTGATGGTAAATATGGGGCCTGGTGTGATACACTTAGATAACATAATGGTTGATGGTAAATATGGGGCCTGGTGATGGTAAATATGGGGCCTACACTTAGATAAATAATGGTTGATGGTAAATATGGGGCCTGGTGTGATAGACTTAGATAACATAATGGTTGATGGTAACTATGGGGCCTGGTGTGATAGACTTAGATAACATAATGGCTGATGGTAAATATGGGGCCTGGTGTGATAGACTTAGATAACATAATGGCTGATAGTAAATATGGGGTCTGGTGTGATACACTTAGATAAAATAATGACTGATGGTAAATATGGGGCCTGGTGTGATAGACTTAGCTAAAATAATGGTTGATGGTAAATATGGGGCCTGGTGTGATAGACTTAGATAACATAATGGTTGATGGTAAATATGGGGCCTGGTGTGATAGACTTAGATAACATAATGACTGATGGTAAATATGGGGCCTGGTGTGATAGACTTAGATAACATAATGGCTGATAGTAAATATGGGGTCTGGTGTGATACACTTAGATAACATAATGGTTGATGGTAAATATGGGGCCCTGGTGTGATACACTTAGATAACATAATGGCTGATGGTAAATATGGGGCCCTGGTGTGATACACTTAGATAACATAATGGTTGATGGTAAATATGGGGCCCTGGTGTGATACACTTAGATAACATAATGGTTGATGGTAAATATGGGGCCCTGGTGTGATACACTTAGATAACATAATGGTTGATGGTAAATATGGGGCCCTGGTGTGATACACTTAGATAACATAATGGTTGATGGTAAATATGGGGCCCTGGTGTGATAGACTTAGATAACATAATGGTTGATGGTAAATATGGGGCCTGGTGTGATAGACTTAGATAACATAATGGTTGAAGATAAATCCAACCTGACTCATTTGAATGGCGTTTTGATGTTGGTGTTATGAACAGGGGAGTTCTCTCCATGTTGGTCTTCCCCCTCCTTGAAAATATCTGTGATCACATTCAACCGTCTAAGTGACTAATTTGGATAGGAAGTATAAGCGTTAACAACCTTTCAATGGCAGACATCTTATGAACGCACCACAATTTCTCTTTGTCGCCACCCCTGAACACTACGCATGGGATGCACGTGTACAACGCAGTAGCCCCATACACGTACATTGGGTATCATTCTTCATTTTGACGCTTTCAAGAATGTCGATAAATATCATTCATTTTGACAATCATGCATCACACAGTTGCTGTTAGTGTTTGTTTCAAGCCGTTTTATTAATTTAAAATGAAGATCGTACACATGCAAATTTCACATCATACATCAGTCATCTTTCAAAAGCAATTACTGTACAACCAGCTATGTTCATAAGGAAGTGCAAGTGGTGATGCACTCTCAAAACATTCATTATTATGATGTAAACATTTGTTGACTCCGATATCCCATTTTTTTTTCAATCGTAAATTAAAAATGAAGTTCCCGTACTTTTTTAAGAGTATATATGACGGCGGTCTGTAAATAATCGTGTCTGGACCAGACAATCCAATGATCAATAGCGCGAACCTGACCACCTGATCCCGTTAGTCGTCTCTTAAGACAAACATGGGTTGCTGAAGATCAATTCTAGCCCGGATCTTCACGGGTTAGCCGTCCAAAGAAGACATGGTTAATTTAAATAACTGAAAACTAATTTTGTATTTTGACGCAATAAGAGGTTTCGGACTTTGCTTTCCCCATGTTGGTTTTAAAGTGAAAACATATTGTATGACTATTGCCTGTTCACGCGACTAAGTCAAGTTAATACACGAGAACAATTTTAATTGCCCGAGTTTCGTGACTAACGGGATCGGGTGGTCAGGCTCGCTGACTTGGTTGACACATGTCATCGGTTCCCAATTGCGCAGATCGATGCTCATGATGTTGATCACTGGATTACCTGGCCCAACTCGATTATTTACAGACCGCCGCCATATAGCTGGAATATCGCTGAGTGCGGCGTAAAACTAAACTCACTCACTGTTTCTGTCGTGAAATCCGAACAGCTATATCTGATGCTACTTTCGTGACGTATTCAAAGCAACAGAGATACTTCTACGGAACGTTAGATGGCGTTTCCCTGTTACAACCGGCGTGGACGTTGTTATTGATTATGTACATGGCCTTCAACAGGTCACGTGAACTAAGTTACATCACGTGACTCGAGGCAAGCAACAGGAAGACGGGCACCTTCGTCGAGCTCACCATGTCGTGTTGTGTGGGTACGTTACATATATAGATGAAACTTCACAAATTTAGCAATTACATTAACTGTTATATAGCGTGTACCACATTCCACATCAACACATACAGACTGCATGATACAGTGGAGTAGATATCGATCTTTCCATCAGAAGTCGACGACGTTCATATATTTCTGTGTAATGTCAGTTTGCCTCTGAATCTTCGTCATTTATGAAAGGCTACACAATCTAGAGTGTTACAGTTGCCAAGACCAACTATCGCCAGCGAGGCGGGCATATTTCGCCTGTCTGTACGTGTGCCAGTAGGTCACGGTGACCTGTCTGGTATAAATAGGAACAAGCTGTACAGTAACATGGGTCAGAGAACGTGTGCTGGTGTCCCGACCCTCCTGTTACTTCGAGCCACGCTTGCAGCCCTAATCCTGACGTGAGCATCCACGTCTCATTCAGATTTAATGAAATTAGGGGTGGGTCGGAAGTAGTGCCTCTAGCTCTAATGGGTGCTTGAATTCGGGCATGAATGATAGATAGACAAGTTCCCCGTGTTCAGCGAGACGTGTAGACTTACACTTAGTCTCCGAATATATATTATTTTGACAGAAACAAACAATTCGTTTCAAATTGAAAAGGGGCCCAATTGAAAGGGAGATTCAGAACCTGGAGAAATCTAGACGCTTCATTTAGGGCTTTAGCGTTGAAGAAGGGAAATATTGGGGCTCAGGGACTGTGAGACAGACAAGATGTGTTGAAGTGTAAGTTTTCATATGTTATGTCCCTTTAATCTCCAACCCCGTGTATGATATGTCAGAATCGAACAGCTTTATAACTTGAAGTTCAGGGTACAATATTGTTCAAAATACATGCATGAGTTATGTACAATAGGTATATAGTAACTCAAAACCATCTGTAAAAGACAGATAAGTCTTTATTGAGAAGACCTTCAGATTTGCGTTTGGGGAGAACAAAGTAACTTAAAATAGATTAGCAAATGCAACTGGGACTATTTCCTGACATGAACAGACAGGTGTTTTCGCACTGTGGCTAAGTTTACTTATTTCAGATAAATGGTTTAAACCCTGAAACAATTGCAAAACATTCATTAGACAAGAAAACAATATGTGCTGATACGTAATGTCACATCAAATATTATAACTAATTACAAAAATATTATAATTGCGAACAGATAAAGTTTATTAATGATATAATCCAAATATGCCTATAATTTGCATGTACATACATTTGAATGATCATGTGCAGTAGCAAGCTTGATATAATACATTTATTATCATGTCTACTATATTCAATACAGAAAGTATAGTAAACCCACCAAGTGAGTGGACCTGGGTACATCAATCAGAAACCGACCGCTGAGTGAGCAATACGGGTACATCTGCATGACGAATAAATGAACATCTTAAAAGCAATCTTAATACAAACAGACGTTCAGTTACTGCAGGGTAATCAGTAACCTTTCTAAACTATACCTAATGCTAAAACCCTGCTTCATTCCTACAAGGGGCGGTGGGGTAGTCTAGTGGTTAAAGCGTTGGCTCGTCACGGCGAAGACCCGGGTTCGAATCCCCACATGGGTACAATGAGTGAAGCCCATTTCTGGTGTCCCCCGCCGTGATATTGCTGGAATATTGCTAAATGCGGCGTAAAACCAAACTCAGTCAGTCAGTCAGTCATTCCTACAATCACACATTATATTCATACTTTACACACGTATTCAGGACGTAACATGCAGTCCAACAATTCATATGTTTCATATTCTTACCTTAATTCTTCACACAATCAGTTTTATACCAGTTGAAGATTAAGTTTGATAACGATACATCATGCGTTAACATGACGCTTACCGAATCACAGTATTATATTACCTTACGTAAATAATTCTACGTATATTGCGATGTAATGGGTATGATGAACCACAACTAGTTTCCATGAACTACCTCTACAAGTTGAGTTGTTCAAATTGTCAAAAGCATAACGAAGATGTGCTGTCACACTGTCATTCCTGACACTGGTACGAGCTTTACGACTAGTACGGGGCTGTCACACTGCCCATTCCTGACACTAGTACGAGATTTACGACCAGTACGGGGCTGTCACACTGTCCATTCCTGACACAAGTACGAGATTTACGACCAGTACGGGGCTGTCACACTGCCCATTCCTGACACTGGTACGGGTCTTACGACCAGTACGGGGCTGTCACACTGCCCAATCCTGACACTAGTAGGGGCTTTACGACCTGTATGGGGCTTTCACACTGCCCAATCCTGACACTGGCACGGGCTTTACGACCAGTACGGGGCTGTCACACTGTCCACCCCTGACACTGGCACGGGCTTTACGACCAGTACGGGGCTGTCACACTGCCCAATCCTGACACAGGCACGGGCCTTACGACCAGTACGGGGCTGTCACACTGTTCATTCCTGACATTGGTACGGACTTTACGACCAGTACGGGGCTGTCACACTGCCCAATCCTGACACTGGTACGAGCTTTACGACCAGTACGGGGCTGTCACACTGCCCAATCCTGACACTGGTACGAGCTTTACGACCAGTATGGGGCTATCACATTGTCCATTCCTGACACAGGCACGGGTCTTACGACCAGTACGGGGCTGTCACACTGCCCAATCCTGACACTGGCACGGGCTTTACGACCAGTACGGGGCTGTCACACTGTCCACCCCTGACACTGGCACGGGCTTTACGACCAGTACGGGGCTGTCACACTGCCCAATCCTGACACAGGCACGGGCCTTACGACCAGTACGGGGCTGTCACACTGTTCATTCCTGACATTGGTACGGACTTTACGACCAGTACGGGGCTGTCACACTGCCCAATCCTGACACTGGTACGAGCTTTACGACCAGTACGGGGCTGTCACACTGCCCAATCCTGACACTGGTACGAGCTTTACGACCAGTACGGGGCTGTCACACTGCCCAATCCTGACACTGGTACGAGCTTTACGACCAGTATGGGGCTATCACATTGTCCATTCCTGACATTGGCACGGGCTTTACGACCTGTATGGGGCTTTCACACTGCCCAATCCTGACACTGGCACGGGCTTTACGACCAGTACGGGGCTATCACACTGCCCATTCCTGACACAGGCATGGGTTTTACGACCAGTATGGGGCTGTCACACTGCCCAATCCTGATACTGGCACGGGCTTTACGACCAGTACGGGGCTGTCACACTGCCCATTCCTGACACAGGCACGGGCTTTACGACCAGTACGGGGCTATCACACTGCCCATTCCTGACACAGGCACGGGCTTTACGACCAGTACGGGGCTATCACACTGCCCATTCCTGACACTGGTACGGGCTTTACGATTAGTATGGGGCAACGTCCACATGTACATACATATAAATGACAGGTTAGTTTCAGCTCAATGTCCCCGTCGCCGAAATACCTTAGTTGTGCGTGCGACGCTAAATAAAGTAAATAACTAACTAACTAGCTAAATGTTTATGGAACTTGCTATTGATGATCATGTTGAATCCGATAATGCAATAAACTTCTAATAGGCGTTTTTGAACTTTAAGTATTAAGTTTCTTTGACTGGGCATTTTTCAACAAAACTTAAAATAAAATTATTTAATAAATAAAGCTCCACATACGAAGGCAGAGTATTACATAAAAGACATACAACCGTGACTCTGTACCCGAGATGATGGTAACGTGTGCTGTCAAAGTTAAGACAATGCAATTATTGTTGTCCTTTTAGCGTTGTTACTTGTCCATAAAATCTGTATTGACGTCGCCAGTATATGACGACTGTGGATTGCTGTCTTCAACACACACCCCCACACCCCCCACACACCCCACACACACCCCACACACCCCCTTCCTCGATTGTCATATAGATACACATACACATTTGCTTAGTGTTACTTAGATCTGTATATTTCACTTTACAGGGGAGGGTACGCGGCGAGAACGTTCCTGAGTCTACTATATGACCGACCACTCGCCGTCTTGACCGGTCAAGTTTTGACTACCTACAAGGAAGTGAACGTCTTGAGCTAGGAGCCCAGTTCGAGGTAGGTGCGACGGATTTTTCAAATTTCTTTAACACATTTACTTAAGAACATCCCCATTTGACCTTACCAGGCGTTTGCCAAATGGTGAACATATCTTGCCCCACCGGTAAGCTCAGCGGCACTATAAAATGTACCGCAAATATGAATGCAAGGGGTTGTCTTCTTGTAACTTATGTAACTTTTTCACTGTGTAACAGAAATATTTTACTTCTTTAGGGTTTTCAAGTAAAGTGTAATTACAACATATATGTACTTCATTTAGCTGGCGGTTTTGCTTCAGATGGCGACAGCTAAGAAACTGACCGAGAGACACCTCAGCTGCTCAATCTGTACTGATGTGTTCAAAGATCCTGCCACACTTCAGTGTAATCACACATTCTGCAAATCGTGCCTGCTGAACTACATCAACACAAGGCCTGCAGCAATACAAGCCAAGTCCCTCCCGTGTCCCTCCTGCAGGCAGCTGACGAAGGTGACCAACCCGCACAGGCCAGTAGAGGAGTGGGTCAGTCAGCTGAAACCAAGCCACGTCATCCAGGGGTTGATGGACGACTTTGGACCAAGTGCTGAACGTAATTAATTTTACTTTTTGTTTAAAATGTGTAAACCCACACGTGCGCACACGCACGCACGCACGCGCACTCATAAATATGGGAACTGGACTTATTTTGACGTCAAGAGAATAGTGTTTATGCAAATTAAATATTCTTTTGTCAGGTAAACCAGCAAATTGAAGTTTATTGTTGGAAAAGAGCTATCGATGAATTGCGATGGGACGTATCGCAATCATAAATTAACAGAGGAATGTATCTGCTTTAACGAAAGAAGAGAGTGCATTGACCTGTTTTGACCCATGAAGATCTTTCTTGCACGTAAATATTTCGTGCTCTAAGTTCTATATATAGTCAGTAGTTGACAAGGGAGTTCTGTTGGTTAAAGAGCACCATTGTGACAACCTGGTACTTTTACACATTCACCTAAATAATCCGCGTTGTCTGTTACGACAACACCAATATGTTACATGTTATTATATCTTAGGACAATGTATGATTTTATCATGTTTTGAGACAAATGTCATTGAGCAAATGTATTTGTTTCAGCTGTGGAGGAACACGTGTGCAGTGTTTGTACAAAACAAGGAAAGAGAACTCCAGCCACCGCCGGGTGCTCTGTCTGCAACGTTGTGTTCTGTGATGAATGTTTCCAGAGTCGCATGGAGACCGGCTTGTGTGACCATGAGGTAGCACAGTTATCTGATCATACAGAAACAAGGGTCATGTGTGAACGCCATACAGACAAGCAGATAGAGTTGTTCTGTAGGGATTGCAAGCTGGAAATATGTACTATGTGCTGTAGCTTAAATCACAGGACATGTAAGGATGTTGAACCAATAGAGAGTGTGACTCATCTTGTGAGGGAACAACTGACCAACAAGCTAGAGCAGCTTCATACTAACATGTCAGTTATTGATAAAATATTAACCCGGAGAAAATCTGAAATTGAGATTATAAAGAGCCGTTCAAAACTCCTCTCGGATCAAGTCGTGGAGGCACAGGAGACAGCGGTGCGTGCTATTTTAAGAAAAGAGAAGCAGCTTCTGGATTACATCGACAAGGCTACGGGTGAACAATTACGTGAGTTTGAAACAGATATAGAATCACAGGAGATCCAGCTGCAGATGTACCAGCAAGAATATGCCATCACAGCTGATGCTCTGACGTCCAACAGTTTAAAGGACATGCATGCGGGCCTTGGGTCGGTGGGTGAGGTGTCTGCGGGCAACAGACCAGCAGCAGGAAGGCTTGTGTTCACACAAGACCTGGACAAGCTGAAAAAAGCAGTGGATGTGCTACAGCTGGGGAAAGTAAAAGTTGTGCATGATGTGAGTGACGTTGAGTCTTCTCCTTTTTTACTCCACACCATTCACTGCAAGGAAGATGGCGACAGGAAGAAACCAGACTTGTTTGACGTCACTGTGTTGTCTGTTGACGGCATTAACGTTACGGTGGTTGCAGATTATGATAACAAGAGACTCAAAACATATTATACATCAAACCTCAAATCATGTCACAATCAGCTACTGCTTTCTAATGGGCCTTGGCAAATAGCAAAGTACTCTGAGAGTCAAGTATTTGTCAGTGTTCCTGACAGTAAGGAGATAGTTACAGTGAACTGTACCCCATCCCCAGTGTTGCGGTCAATTATCAGAGCAAGCAAAGTGTACTGCGCTCTCGCCTGTCTGAATTCTTCACAGCTGGTGGCAAGTATATACGAGCAGCCCTACTCAGTGGACATACTGGACATGTCAGGGAGGGTACTGAGGTCTGTCACCAACAAAATGATAAGAAATCCAGACTACATCCATGTGACCAGCAGCAGCAACCTTATAGTCAGTGAAAGAGCTGTAAAGTCCCTTCTATGTGTGACCAGTGAAGGGGACACTGTCTTCACCTACACTCCCACAGGGGACAGAGCTCTGACATACCCATGGGGTATCACAACAACCTGTTCAGGGGATGTCCTGCTTGTAGACTACGACTCCAAAGTGATTCAGCTGACAGAGTCGGGGCAGTTTGTAAGGGATGTTCTCACACGACGTGATGGTGTGGACAATATCCGTGCTGTCTGTGTTGATAATGAAGGTCTCATGTATGTTATGTCGGACAGTTATGTAAAGGTATTTGAATTCCGCCGACATAGATAGGCATGGTTCAGGAAGTACATCACCAAGAAGAGTGCTCATATCCTAGTTAGATGTCTAGTGATTTCCCGCCTTGACTATTGCAATAGCCTTGTCAACGGACTCTCTAAAGAACACATAAAAAGGCTCCAGAAAGTTCAGAATACCGCAGCCAGAATTATTTCTTTATCTTCTAAATATGACCATATATCTCCTGTGCTAAAATCTCTACACTGGCTTCCTGTTCCATACCGGATAGATTTCAAAGTTCTGTGCATCATCTACAAGTGTCTCAACAATCTATCATCCCTGTTAACCCAGTATGTTCCATCCAGGACTCTTCGTTCTCAAGATCAGCGTCTACTGGTAGTTCCCCCCGGCTCGCCTCTCTTCCTACGGAAAGAAATGTTTTCAGCATTTTGCTCCACTCCTATGGAACTCTTTGCCACTCCACATAAAACCTTCTGCAACAACTGATTCTTTCAAGAAATATCTTAAGACTTTTTTCTTCACTAAAGCCTTCCAGTGACTCTTCATTTCTCCTTGTACATAGGTTGTCAGCGCCATGAGCATGTGTGGACGCTGGCGTTTTATAAATATCCCTATTTTTATTATTATAATTATGGTTCTAGCATTTAATTCAATTAAACAATCGCAAACAGCAGATCAGGGCTCAGATGTGTACGTAACGCACACAAAAGACCAGCATCGACCGATTATTATGCATATAATGTTATATTGGACGTTTTACCTTTCTTACCAATTCTTTGTTTTATTAAAAATACGAGAAACCAGTGAGTCGCCCAGTTTGTTATATATTTCGACCTATGCTTAAGGAGTTGGTGACAAGACTGTGTAACAAGAAGGATCAAGTAACAATATTGACTTTCCCCCTTTATGTCGAACAATATGTCATCAGCTCCAACCTCTAGTAGTAGGTACAATTCTGGTCGTGAGTGAGTTTAGTTTTACGCCGCTTTTAGCAATATTCCATCAGTATCACGACGGGGTACATCAGAAAGTTGCTTCACACATTGTGCACCCATGTAGGGAATCGAACCCGTGTCTTCGGCGTGACGACCGGACGATTAGGCAAAAATCGATATAAACGTTTGTATTTATTTACAAAAATAGAATTAATACTGGTTCGTGTTGAGGATTAAGCATGATATCTGGGGTCCGTCATGTCACTCACTCACTCAATGACAGAATTGCACGTACAACGGAGAAGACAATCTTGAGTAAATTTGATTTGGACAAGCATAATGTACATCCTTCACATGCTTCACATCCCCCTTTGCCGAAGGGGAACGGTGTTGTGTTCGTGAGGTTTACCGATCTGGAGGGGCAGCGGAATGGTTTGGGGAGCATTTTGTGCCAACGGTCCTTCTCGATTGTTGTCTTGGGGAACGTCATACATTATTTTTCCAATAAAATGATGTCACAATCCACATTTCTCCGCCGGTTTTGTTTGTTACCTGGATTATAGCTGCATAATACACATCATGTTTCACAATATTGAAGGGCGAAAAACAACAAATTCACTCGCTCACATTAGTGAACGCTTTACTTCTATTATGGGGTTCAATGTGACAAGACTGTTTCATGTTTTGCTTTTAATATGTCTTGAATGGGTGTCAGGGTTGAGGTTGAAGCTATAACGTTTCTTTCTCTTCTTGACACGTTTACCAGCGTTTGTTGATTGGGCACTTTTATTCCTAATCTTAGTGATTTTCATTTCGTACGTAGAATACTTCCTGGTTGTGTTCACACAGAAGGTAACAATGTCATAAGGAGAATGTGGACCATAACTCTATATTTTATCTTTAAAAATCGATATCTACTGCTAACAAAATATTTACAACATTTATACAAATATATTTTCCAAAACAAATAATAAGGTTTATAAAAAAAGGCTTTAATTGTATTTTAAGTAGTCCCTTCGGCGAAATATATTAGTTCTGCGCGCGCCTGGAATTCAATAGAAGAATAAACAATGAAGTGGTGGTGATTGATGGCTTTGCGTAAATCGGATTATGTGAGCTTAGGCATAAGTGTGTTTCTGAAGGAGATTGTGGAGATTGTTGCCTTCCGTTTTGTTCCTCTTCGTCAGTCAGACTTCATTGTGAAGTACCCATGGTGGTATCTGAGCATATTGTACGCATCATTTGTGTGTTGCATAATGCACATGACAAGATGGCCTAACGGTATATATGTACGACTATCTACTTATATACTGTTGATTATAGTATAACTTTAGACATCTTTTCAGGACTTTCCATTTTTGTGGACATAGAGGATGATTAAATTTAAAGAAAGTGGCCATACATAATATGCATCAACATCTTTCATTATCGAAGGAATTTTGCCGATGTGACGTTAAATTTTAACTCACTCACTCACTCATTATCGAAGGCATTACATTTTAAGAGGCAATTTCAGAGATGATTGCTGTTTGCTGATTTAGATAATTATGATTTGAAGTTCTGAATCTCAGTAGAACTTTCGGGAGAGGTCATTGATTTTAAGGAATGTTAAAGGAATGATTATCGATTCCCGTTTAGCTTTACCGTAGTGCACAGTTCCGTGATTGGAAGAAGTGATGTTTCCGTGTTATTTATGTATCCTTTACATAAATGTATTTTAAACCTTATTAAGACAACCATATGATTTAAACGTATTTGTATTAAATAAATGCACTAACTCACTATAACTTAAAATCTTAACTCACTCACTATTAAATAAATGAATGGGGATTTGTGAACAAGCTGTTACAGTGGGGGGGTTCCCGTTTTGCCGGACGATTTTGTTCTAGATAAAAAAAATCACTGATGCGCGATAATCCTTAAACAACAGGAGATTAACTTATAGTCTTTTTCGGCTATATGTCCACACTATAACTTCATCTCGATGTTTTCATTTTAGCAATTCAACATTTTTTTGTGTATTTTCTATTCACGTTAAAGCTTACATTAACACCGCACGCACACAGCGTATCATACAAAGTGTAAGTCACAACATGATATACATTATTATACTTGTTAACAACAGAGTGCTAAACAGAAGCACAGAAGCATGGCGAAAACACATTGCTGTAATGTGTATTTGTAGTTTTATTTAAACCATTCAGATGAACACATGTATGAGTGTACTTGCTCAGCTACAACTGGTGTCCTCCCATTACGCAGACAGGCAGTTCGCAGACACCTTAAAACAACAACATTTACGGTTCAATGACCAGATTATCTACGACCTGTTACCTACCTAACTAATATAAAAACAGTTGATATTCATAAACGTTTGGGTTTAACCTTCTTGTCTAACAGGAGAACATTGTAAAAAAGACATCTAAAATGATTGGAGCATTTCAGAAATTAACGTTCCTACTAAATAGAACAACACCAGTAATTTTCTTTAGGATTTACGCCCACCTGTAGTGGGTAACCGGACAAGCTATGAGTTCAGAAACTCCGATAATTTCAGCCAACCATGTACAAGACTGAGGTACTCAACATCATCTTTTATTCCATCAGCAATTAAAATGTGGAATAATATTTCCTTAGCTATATACAAATGTATTAGAACTTGTGACTGTGTTGCATCATTTATATCCACGTGAAAGAATAATATGTACATATCTATATCTCTCAGAAAAACGTTTTCTCAGTTAACTTTTGTAAGTTGGATAACTTGTGCCCAATCCTTTTCTTGAATTAATAAAAAAAAATTCAGTCAAGAAACACAATCAAACCACTCGGTGACACCTGTTTTATATTCGATAGTAACTGACAGTAAAAACAATTTTGGGAAGAGAAGAATGATTATCACAGTTCTATTTACACACAATCAAACTTTCAAGTAACGAATCAGTTTCAGGCTCACCCTGCTCTACTCACTAGACAGTGGGCTGTTCCATTATACCAGTAGGTGTTACTCTAATTAATCATCTAGTTCAGTGTCTGTCAATCGACTGTCTGTCAAATGGGTGTCTGTCAACTGGGAGTGCCTGAGTACAATTTGGTGTGCCTGAAGATTTAATGGAATTAAGGAACATGTGCAGATTAATTTGATGATACGCTTTCGGATACAATTGCTTTCAAGTAACATTAGCTTTGCAAGTTTTGAAACGTTTGATTTTGTGATAAAATTGTGGCCTGATTTAACAATTTTCATATTTTCCGAAGTAGTCAAATATCTGTTTATATTTATCAAATATTATGGTTTTCAGGTAATGAGAACAGAAATACATGTTACTTTTTAGCAGTGTACATTTTACACACACAAAGAAATAGTAAAAAGCCTTATCGGTGTGGGGCAGCCACACTAACATATAAGCTTGATTTATGGTCACATCTTTTACAGGTATGTAACTATGTTATCAAAGAAAGTGCTCAGAAAGCTGGGGAATTTTGCCATGGAACTGAGAATTTGCCTTTCGAGTTAGCGAATAATTTCTATAGATGAATGCGAGCTTCAAAATAATTGTTCACCTTTTGTAATTACAATAGTGCTGATATCTGTCTTTTTGTCTTTACGCCCCAATTGGCTACGCATTGGAATGTTTGTTTTTGAGATTGTTAATGTGCAGTTACAGCTATTCGAGTGTTCTTGAATAGATGGTGTTGATCGGTTGAACACGGTTGTATTTTTTACTTCCTATCCGAACTGAGTGAGTGACTCAGCTCAGTTTTACGCCGCACTCAGCAATATTCCAGCTATAAGGCGGCGGTCTGTAAATAATCGAGTCTGGGCCAAACAATCCAGTCATCAACAGCATTATGCATCGATCTGCACAACTGGAAACCGATGACATGTGTCAACCAAGTCAGCGAGCCTGACCACCCGATCCCGCGTTAGTCGCCTGTTACGACAAGCATGGGTTACTAAAGACCAATTCTAACCCGGATGTTCACGGGTCGTTTACAGCATGAGAATACAGCATGTGAAGATACCCCTTAGTGTTTAGATGCCTCTTAAGAAAAAGGGATATCCTTGTATGGTTTTGTTATTTCTTATTCGCACAAGACTTTTTGTCTTAATGGATGTCGATTATATTACATGGGTAACCAAATCTCTGAACTCCACGTACAAAATAATATTCGTCTTGATCTGCATTAGAAGACATTTATCGCATATGCAACATTATGATCGTACATGTTCTGGGTCGTTTACCTGTATTTGTAAGTCATGTGATAAAAATAGGAATTTGGCTGAAATTTGGCCGAAACTTCAAAAAGATTTTACACCGCTTTTGGCAGACTTCCGGCTAATATCTCACCCAAAATGGGAACCAGAAAGGAGCTTCACACATTGTACCATTCCTGGAATCGAACTCTCTCTCTTACTGCTGAACATTGCGCTCACTCACGCACACACAAACAAACGCTCACCGACCGTTTGGTTCTTTTATGCTTCATAAATCAGTAAGTTCCCTAATTTGCGATCAGAAATTTTGTGTTTATATTTTTACTTAATTTTCGCACTTCACAAGAGTACAAATAGTATATGATTAGGCGTGATGCTAATGAACTTAGTTCACAGTGGGATACACTAATCAGGGTCAGATTAACCGCGATCACTGATAAGCGTTGAGCTCCCACACTGTGTGTCATAGAGACTATTGGTTGTCATTGATGCATAAACCCTAATTCCACGCGGGTGGGACTTACCCATTGGAGATGCTGTTCCGTCGCAAAGGCTAACATCCTTTATGGGACCCTTGTTAAAGTCGGTACACAGGACCAAGGGACAGCTATCTGCAGTGTCGGCCCAAGATTCAGGTGAGTCATATTATATTTCTCTGCTAAAATAGGTATGTTCTTCAGTCAGTGGCTGTAAATAGCCAGTTCACTGATGGGAATGAATGTATAGTGTGGGCTTCTTTGTAGAGGGTGTGACCGCCTCCGTGGTGTAGTGGTTAGAGCGTCCGCCCGAGAGCGGAAGGTCGCGGGTTCGATCCCCGACCGCGTCATACCAAAAGACGTTAAAATATGGTACTTGTTGGTCCCTGCCTGGCGCTCGGCATTAGTGGGTACAACAAGGCCTGGTCGGCTCAGTGTCAGTATAATGTGTCTGAGTGGGGTATTCATGCTTCACTGCGGCATGGTATCTCAGTGGGCTAGCATTATAAAACCAGCTTAAGTCTGGGCTAGTACAAGCAGCCACATACACATACACACGCATGCACGTCGTCATATGAGCGAAATATTCTCAAGCACGACGTTAAACCCATTTTCACCTCACCTTGTAGAGGGTGTTACGTCAGATGTCTTATATCTAGCTGTCCTTACAAGACGTGGCGTTTCATTATCTTCTGGTTTTGACATTCCAACTCCACACTTTGTTTGGCAGCTGGACTCCTGAGTTCTGCCACACAACGAAGCACATGTAATATATGTGGTCTCACCTTAGGCAAGTGAGTTTGTTCAAAATTGCCTCTGTTCACCCAGAAGAACATTGGGTACCTAGTGTGATATGATGATAGTCTGAATGTGAACCTTGAGCGCCTGACAGGCGGCCGGTTGTATTGTCCACGGGGAGTGTTCTGTACTCGTTGACCAGAGATAGTATATCAGCGCTTTGAGCATACAATGTGCATGGATATATGCGCAATATAAATGGACTATTATTATTATTATAATTACCAGCCCTTCTGATGTTTTGCTTGGCATTTTCCAAATCCTCTATGCATTATATGCATAAATAAGTCCTATCGCCATCATTCTTCCTTCCAATATATTGTTTCAAGGCAGATAAACTTGGTTCAACGTTTATTAATATGTACGTGGTTTCCGCTTCTGCTCAATCTTATATTACCTTTTCACACCGACTGGTTATTGTCATATTCAGAGCGTTATTGTTTTTGGTCATATCCAACAGAGGACCGCGTTTGTGTTTATGTTCTGTAAAGAATGGATCACCTTCTGCTTTCTAACTGCTTAGTATACTAACTGCTTACCTGGACTTGTTTTTCCTTAACCTATGTTATGTTAAGTAATGCTACATTCTCAAGTCCCGTACCAGTTTTGTCAAAAAAACACATAATAAAACTTCAACCAATATTATAAAAACACTTTCCAAAATGTCATGAATCTTGACTATATTTATCGCTGAAGAAATACCCTTTAAGAACAGCACACTTTCTGGACCCGTGAAGATCCGGGTTAGAATTTATCTTCAGTAACCCATGCTTGTAAGGGGATCGGGTGGTCAGGCTCGCTGACTTGGTTGACACATGTCATCGTATCCCAGTTGTGTAGATCGATGCTCATGCTGTTGATCACTGGATTGTCTCGTCCAGGCTCGATTATTTCCAGACTGCCGCCATATAGCTGGGATATTGCTGAGTACGGCGTAAAACTAAACTCACTCACACTTCCTGATTGTCTATGCCACAGACTTAGTTTGTTAGTAATGATTTATTTTATATTATCGCAGAGAAAAACAGCCAGAAAAGGCCAAGAAAACCAGATGTGGTGTAAACCAGATGACATGGTGTGCGATTTTGACATTTGACAACACAAGGTTCTGCGTCTTTGGGTGGTTGACGAAATACTGTTGAAGGGCGATATCAACAGGAGGGCAACTATTTGTTCGCCTTATTCCTGTCCAGATTGTTAATAATGGACATGGACATGGATAATGTAACTGTATTGTTCACGGCAACAGAACTGACATCAGCGTATCTACTCGGAACATTACACTTCCTGGGAGTATCTGCGAATGTCATCATACTCATCATCATTATCGGGACGGCGGGGATGAGAGGGTTCTCTGGTGCTCTCATGATAAACAAGGTTGTTGCTGAAATCATACAGGAGATTATTACGCTGACTGCGATATTAGTTGCTCCTTATCAGTTGGTCCAGTTTCAAATATATCTGAGACTCTCTCTATTTGCACTCCAAGGTGTTGTGTCTCACAGTATATGTGCCCTGTCAGTAAATCTGTACCTGGCTATATGCAAGCAACTGCAGTATAGGAGCCTGGTCACATGGGAACGGATCTACAAGTTCCTGGCTTGTTCCTGGATATTCAACATTGTGATCACCTCAACGTACCACTTCCTTCCATCGATGTACACTGTTGATTTCACGTCGCTGAATATCCTACACATTCATCTAACGCCTTTTAACTTTTGGATCCTACTTATCATGATTCTCAATATCATTGTCGTACCTTTCTGCCTGGTGATGGCTTGTTTCCTGAAATTCCGCATCTCCACACACAGACTTTCCATGATGATGATGAGTCCTCGCAGCGTGAAGAAGGTGAAGATGTCTCAGTTCATCCACACCGTGGCCGCCGTCTACCTCCTCACCTTAATCCCGCTCTTAATAGCCATCTCCGTAGAGGTTCCGTTAAAAGGGTTCAAGGCCATCGCCTGGACTGTCAACTCGATCTACCATATCTTGAAGCCATTTCTCTACGTCAAGTTGTATAAACCATTCCGAGAGACTGTGAATGCTATGCGTTGCAACTCATGTGAGAAGCGTGTGTACCCAAAACAACTGGACCAAAATGCCTCTGACCAAACTTCTGGGGGTACATCTGCTGACGGACATAACCAATGCCATAATCACAAACCACCTGTTTGCTGTTACGACGGATCGCTCAGTGGGCGACAAGAAAACGTTGAATCTGAGCTCATAAAAAACAGTTGAACTGCACACACCAGAACACGTCCTCCAGAAGGAAATTTACAGCATATGCGATGACGTTTATTGTTTTTATGTTGTTTAACGCAATATTCAAGCTATATGGCCGCGGTCTGTAAATAATAGAGTCTGGACCTGACAATCCAGTGATCAACAGTATAAGCATCGATCTACGATGTCATGTGTCAACGAAGTTCAGCGAGCCTTACCACCTGATCCCGTTAGCCGCCTCTCATAAGCATAAGCTGCTGAAGACCAATTTTAACCCGGATTCTCACGGGTCTTTGACGTTTGCACACATGAAGCACAGGACATGTGCTCAGCTTAGTTACATTGTTACGTCTACTGTTTCTGGGTACGTTGCCATGTCTACGGGGTTTAATGAATCATGTACAATAGCTGTATCGAAATCTTACCAGAGCAAGCCCAGAGATGTCAGAGATACCTTATGAAAATGAATTTAAGTGTTATCATTAGATTAAAACGCGTATTGTAAATGCGCTTATTATACATTATCGATATCAGCTGAGATTACACATTTAATGAATCATGTACAATAGCTGTATCGAAATCTTACCAGAGCAAGCCCAGAGATGTCAGAGATACCTTATGAAAATGAATTTAAGTGTTATCATTAGATTAAAACGCGTATTGTAAATGCGCTTATTATACATTATCGATATCAGCTGAGATTACACATTTGAGTACACATTTGTATCATAGATTATCGATATTAAAGTAGAATGTGCACTACTCGGTAAACGCTGGTGTTTTTCATGTATAATCGTGCAGACTTATTTGACAGACAACTGAGGTCGTACATTCGATCCTTACCTTGATGCGTTTCACACACCAACACCACTCAGGAAGTTTCTCTCAGACACATATATGCGGTGGGGCAGCCTAGTGGTTAACGTGTCAGCTCGTAACGCCGAAGACTGGTTCGATTCCCTACATGCGTGAAATGTGTTAAGTCCCCGCCGTGATATTGCTGGAGTATTGCTAAAAGGGCGTAAAACTACACTCAATCACTCAGAAACATATAATTTATTTTTGACGAATTTCAAACCAGTTTTCTTAATAGAGCCAATATATTGCGATATATGTGTTGGTAACGCCCTCATTTTGAGTGAAAAGTTACATTTGAGATACACTGGTTTTATGACGTAAACCTGTTAATGCTTTTAACTGTGTGGACATTTCATGTTCTGTTAATAAAAGATTCCTTCCTGAATCGTCCGACAAGTTGTATGTGTGTATTTAGAAGGGTTTCAGTGAAGTAATATTACCAGTGTAAACGGTTTGCGGACATCATTGATTACAAGAGTGTTTGTGTTTTTGTGTGTGTTGGGGGATGAGGGGCGGCGGGTTTCTGTCTGTCTGTCTGCTGTATATGCACGGTTATACAAATTCATTTATGGCCATAACAACAGAAGTAATGTTATCATGTTTTCAGTGTTCTTTTACAGAAGAAATATGTGAGGTGAGGTGAGGTGAAATTGGGTTTTACGTCGTGCTTGAGAATATTTCGCTCATATGACGACGTGTATGCGTGTGTATGTGTATGTGCGGCTCCTTGTACTAGCCCAGACTAAAGTTGGTTATATAGTGCTAGCCCACTGAGATGTCATGCCACAGTGAAGCATGAATACCCCACTCTGACACATTATACTGACTCCGAGCCGACCAGTCCTTGTTGTACCCATTAATGCCGAGCGCCAGGCAGGGACCAACAAGTACCATATTTTAACGTCTTTTGGTATGATGCGGTCGGGGATCGAACCCGCGACCTTCCGCTCTCCGGGCGGACGCTCTAACCACTACACCGCGGAGGCGGTCGAAGAAATATGTTCATGTGTTTATAATAATAATGTTAGTCATTTGTATATCGCTTATTCCCAATGTAGCACGGCTCAAAAGCGCTGTAATTATTGCCCCGAAAACGCAGCAGCCTGTGCAGCGCAAGAAGGTTAATAGTCACATAACTTATTTCACCGGGTACCAATTTTCTGCTGGGTGAACAGATGCAATTTCGAACAAACTCACTTGCCTAAGGTGAGACCACATGTATCACACGTGCTTCGTTGTTGGTCGGGACTGAAGTCCTAGAAATTCTCAGGAGTGATGCTGCCAAATACGGTCACCCATCAAAGAATTCTCCGCACCAAACGTTGCTAAATTTCAACTGATTTGTGACCTGAGCTCTATACACATAACCACACAACAACACATGTGTATACCTGTGTGGATGTGTGTTAGTATGTGTGTAAGTATGAACAGGCGTGTGAGTGTGTTTACCAATGTTGTGCTTGTGTGTCTGTGTGCCTGTCTACATGCGTAAGTGTATGTGTGTTTACCAGTGTTGTGCTTGTGTACATGTGTGTGAGTGTATGTGTGTTTACCAATGTTGTGCTTGTGTGTGTGTGTGTGTGTGTGTGTGTCTGTGTATGTGTGTGTTTTACCAATGTTGTTCCTGTGTGCGTGTGTACATGTATGTGAATGTGTGTGTTTACAAATGTTGTTACAAGGCGCGGTTGGGTAGCCCAGTAATTAAAGCGTTCTCTCGTCACGATGAAGATCCGGGTTCGATTCCACACCTGGGTACATAGTGTGAAGCCCATTCCTGGTGCCCTTTCCCCGTGGTTTATGCAATAATTTATGTCTACCAACATTTTTACCAAATGCTTTGGTACAAACACAGTATCTTAGTAACATGATGGCGTGACTCGGTCCTTTGGTAAACGCATTCGTCATCGTTGGGACTACCACCAGCACGTCTGGGCTCTAGGCATTGGGAGATTCATCAGTGTAATTCCAAAGATCTTAAAAATATTCGAACATAATCGAACAATAAAGTTGACGTAGGTGTTATTACTGAAACGATTTCAGTTTTAACATATGTCTGACTTCTAACGCCTGTGACCTAACGGTATTACGAGCACCAGACTCAACTTGTAAAACCCTAGCAGAGTTGGTTCTCAACGCTCCAATACATAACCTTAGACCTTTTGACTGGAAAACAACATGTTTTCTCTTTGCGTGGCACATGCAAATCGGCTCGCAATGCAACTGAAATGAAGTCGAGATCTGTTAAAGGCTTTCATAACTAATCAGTATTGTCTGTCTTCATCATATCTTATACTGGAAATACAGTATGTTTATCCAATGCTCATGATGTCGATCACTGGATTGTCTGGTCCAGATTGAGTATTTACAGACCGCCGCCATATAGCTGGAATACGAGACGTTAAACAACCATCAAACCAATTATAGGAGTGAGTGAGTGAGTTTGATTTTACGCCGCTTTTAGCAATATTCCAGCAATATCACGGCGGGGGACACCAGAAATGGGCTTCACACATTTTACCCATGTGGGGAATCGAACCCGGGTCTTCGGCGTGACGAGCGAACGCTTTACCCACTAGGCTACCCCACCGCCCCCCAATTATAGGAACCTGTCACAGACAGACAGACAGATATTTTATTTCAGTCTCACCTCACATAAAAAAACATATATAAATATATTTTAAAAATATAGCATATAAGTGAGCCACCCTTTAAGGGTTATGAGAGACTAATGTATTAAAACATTATAAATACTAAATACTAAATAATTATATAGGTACATACAGTGTAAAATCTATCCGTATAAAATATGTTTTCTTCTTTGCAAGATATAAAAGCAGGTTTTGGCACTGAAATATACATGGTGTTTAAAAAGTAAAACTAACTTATCATCATCACAAAGATCTAAGAAGTTGGGATAGCTAAAACAGATATTTTCATATAAACTTTCACGCAAATCATCATACATAGGGCAATACAACAGAACGTGTCTTTCATCCTCAACACTCTTACTGCACTGAAAACATACCCTCTCATTCACATTCACATTGTATATCTGCCGGTTTCCAAATGCAGAGGAGCAGTACCTGATCTGAATTTGGAGAAGGCAGAGCGGTAAGAACGGGGCATACTCATACTCACATAACTTTCACAGCCATACACATCCTTAAACATTCGATACGTTCGTAATTTATTACCTCCCGTTCTACCGCTTGGCTTGTGTAATAAATCATACCAATCATTCACATACTTCTGCATACAAATATCTCGCACCTTCTCGCATACCCGTTTAACATTAACATCAGCTTCCACACTAAGGCCCCATTCATTTAACCTTGCTTTTACTCGGAAATTCCAATTTCTCACACATCCACTCGCACAACTCTCCGACCATATAAATACATACTTATTTATTCTAAAAGACATTTTTCTAAAACGACAGTATTGTCTAACAATACATATCCATTGTCTAACAATTGGAGGGATCCATCCCATGTCTCCATTCACTGCAACGTTAGGTGCATATTTACCCATTAATGAAAAAATTAAACAGTATTGGAGAAAGTAGACAGCCTTGCTTTAAGCCTTGATTAACATTAAACCACGATGTTAACATACCATTAATACGGACACTACATTTTACCTTATCATATATTGATTGAAGAGCTAAAAACATTTTCCCTTTCACGCGAATATCACTTACTTTCTCCCACAACACTCTTCTATCAATACAGTCATACGCTTTCTTAAAATCAATAAAAGCAGCAAAAGTATCCTTTTTATTACATTTTCTATTTTCAATAAACGAACAAACACTGTGAATATGATCAGTAGTGGCTCTCTTCTTCCGAAATCCGTTTTGCATATCACTCAAAACGCCAGTAGAGTCAGCCCAGGACTGTAAACGACTATTCAGAACATTACAATACAGTTTGTACATAGAGTTGGTAAGGGTCAAACCCCGATATGACATAGGATCCATAGGATCTAAAGTTGAACACTTGGGTATTGGATTAATGATGCCTGTAGCCCAGGTAGCAGGAATTTTCCCTGTATTAAAACACACATTGAAAATATGATGTAATGAATTGATAACACTTTGTGACTTAAGGCACTTACTAGGGATACCATCAACACCAGGCGCCTTGTCACAACGATAG